GTTGTTGTTGTTGTTGTTGTTGTTGTTGTTGTTGTTGTTGTTGTTGTTCATCGGTTGGGGTGGCAGTTGAGGCAGTGGCAGCGCTGCGACCGCTGCTTGTGTTGTTGTTGGTAGCGATGCCGCCGCTGGTTTTGCTGCTGGTGTCGTTCTCTTTGTTCTGCGCACGCTTCGCCTCGACAGGGCCGCCCTTGTCACCCCTGCTGTCGCCACTCCCACCACCACTGCTGTCACCACTGCTATCACCGGCGGCGCTGCGTGCTGGCTGCATGAGCTTTGGGTTGGAGGTGATGTGGTCCACGTGCAGGATGGCGTTGCCCTCGCCAGAGAACCCTTCGTTGAGTTTCACGACGACCCGCTTTGTTGTTGGGTTGCGCAATAGGAGGGTGGCGATTCGGTCCACCAGCACATCGACGTTGTGTGTCAGGCGCACACCGTCCGGGCATGGCACGCCGCTGTTGGCAAACGCCACTCGCGACCCATCCTTTCCGCCCTGGTGGGGGTGATTGATTGAAGAGGCATGGAGGGTGAGTGTGTGGGAGTGAGTGTGTGGCGCGGTGTGGTTGTTGCGAGTTGTGAGATAACATGTTGACAGGGGATATAAAGACGTGTGCACATTAAAGTACACACACACACACACACACACATAGAAACTCAGACACACACACACACAGGAACGCAGACACAACACGCGCACACAGAAACGCAAGCACACACACATAGAAACTCAGACACACACACACACATATCCACACACACACACACACACACACAGAATCGCAGACACACACACACACACACACACACACACACACACACACACACGTACATCCAAACCGCACGTACCCAGAACATGAGGTCTGGTCTGACGGAGTGGAGTGTCATGCCGAGGTAGTCTGCAATGCGCATCTCCAGCGGGGTGCTGCGAAACACCGCCATCACCGCATTCGGCCGCACATACGTGCGGATCCGATTCAACAGCCGCGGCCGGCGCAGCAGCTGGTGGTTGCGGTGGTGATGATGGAGAGAGAGAGAGGGGGGGGCGTGAGAGGAGAGGTGAGGTGAGAGGAAGGAGACGAAATCGAAGGGCACTGAAGGAAAGACAGACAGCCACACACAGCCACACACACACACACACGCACACGCACGCACACACACACACACACACACACACACACACACACACACACACACACACTTGCTCTTCCCTGTGTGCTCTTCCCTGCGTGCGTGTATGCAACACCTTTTCGCTGAGGGAGACGGGGGAGCTGTCCTGCGTGCTGAGCATGAGGAGGTTCTCGCGGTGGATGGGGATATCTGGTGGGAGGAGGGAGAAGTAGTAGTCAAGGATGTCGCTGGGGATGGGCATCGAAGTGAGGTACACCAGCCGTGTGTTGCTGTAACGCAACAGGATGAGCGAGAACAGCAGTCGCTCCTCATAGTGATGCACGCCCCTCAGCTTCTCAAGCTCGCCATTGTCAAACGTCTAGCAAACATGAGAGGTTGGATGGGGGGGGGAGTGAGTTGGAGTGATCATTGCATTGCACTGCGCGCACGAACAAAACAAAACAAAACAAAACAAAACACAACACACACATGCCTTACAAGGCTGGGGATGACAACAAAGTCCTTGTCTGGCCCGTGGGTCCAATGGATGTGCTGGAACTCATCAGCCATGATGCCGTACAGCGCTCAAAGGTACGTGGGGTAATGATCTCGCGTGTGCGTATGTGTGTGCATGTGTGTGTGTGTGCGTGGTTGTGTGTGTGTGTGTGTGCGTTCTCTGAGGAACGACAATGGTGAGAGTGTGAGTGTGCACTTTGGGTTTGAGGAGGAGGAGGAGGAGAAAATGCTGAAGAGAGGGGGGTTCTTCCGGATTGACAGTGTCTGCGGACGAGCGAGAAGAGTGTGGTGTGTGTATGTGTGTGTGTGATGGTGTGTGATGGTGTGTGACTTGTGTATGCGGCAGGTTCATTGCGTGTTGTGGCCAGCAGACAAACTGCTTGCTCGCTTGCTTGCTTTATTCATTAAGGCCCAGCGTTGCCTTGATCGCCTTGCCTTGATCGCTTGCTTGCCACCAACCATGATGATTGGTTGATTGCATCTTGGGTGGCAAAACGGTTGCTCGCCACATCAAGGACATAAATTGCGGAACGTTATTTGATAATATCCACCAATAATCTGCAGCAAACGCAACGATGCACCGAAGCAACACGATGGTTATGGCGAACGCTGATGATGATGCAACGCTGCCACCAACCAATCACTTGCGAAGCAAGAACTGACTGACACAAGCAAGGAAGGAAGGAAGCTGCCACGCAAGACGAGAAGCAAGCAGAAGCACAGCCCAAACCTGAGGCACCAACCAAGCTGTCGTGAGGTGTGTGTGTGTGTGTGAGGCGTGCGTGCGTGTGTGCGTGTGTGTGTGTGTGTGTGTGTGTGTGTGTGTGTGTGTGTGTGTGTGTGTAGCTTGGTGTTCGTCAGCTTGCTTGCTTGTCATTCA